CTTATCTTTACGTTTACACATAGGCAGTTACTATGTTATGCTCTAATGAAAATTCTTTTAAAAGACATTATAGCTATTGACTTACAATGTAACGGATTACTCTGCTCATATTTCATGAAAACAATTGTTTTCTGGATATCTGAAGAATATTAGCCTGTTTATGAGATGTTTAAGAAGACTTAATATATTGTGTTAAAAACTCAGTGTGCCCGCATTACTTCATCCCTGAGATTAATTTATCTGAGAATAAGATAAAGGGACATGTACAGGAAATACTCCTAAAAAAACTGTATAGTATCAACAGTTATGGTTGGCAATGTCTTTTATTTTCAAACCAATTTTCGAATTTCTATAAACTATTTATTGGCAGTCCCAAAGAACCATATTGTTTACGTGTCCACTGAACTGAAAAATTGTTATGTTCAATTATTAATCCGGCTGATTGTATGACAGCTGAGTTTTCACTGGAAAAGAGATTGTGGAATGTATTGTCGTTTAAGAGTTCCAAAATAACATATCTATACTGGTATTATGTGTCAAAACTTTCCAGCAATTGTGTTCAATTGCTAAGTTTCAATGAAACATTTAATTAAGGTAATAAATCTACGTACATGCAATACAAGAACTGCATAAGTATCCTGTTACGGAATTTACGTCATGATGCTGTATCTTTATGGCTGTTGTTATCATCGTTTTTCTATAAGAGAAAACAATATAGGTAAGCATTATACATCCTCCAGTACTCCTTATCCAAATATACTTCGGAAAAAATGCAACGATTCAGGGAATTATCACACATGTATTGTGAATTATCAAACCTAAGTTTATTTAGACAGATGACTATTGTGCAGTTGTTGAAATATTTGCAGGTAGATCATGCAGTATTTTCTGTAAACTCTACGTTGATACCAAAAGAATTAAAAGTTGAGATTCAGTTGGAAAGGATCGGAATACCACCATTAGTGTATGCACATTTTCTTCGTTTTCTATGTCATTATCATCTTAATAAGACCCAACAATGTCGTGATTCAATCAGAGATCTGAAATTGACTGTGGTGGAAAATTCTTGTATAGCAAAGCCAATAGAACAAGCTTCATCTTACAGAATTCTTGGAATAGCTTTCCAATTAACAGGAGACAAAGAATCGGCCAAGCAGGAATTTACACAATCTATAGGATTGCAACCAGATCCAGTGAAAAACAGTTCTTACAGCAGATTGTCATTAATAAATTCATTGTAGTTATTATCATGTGTATGAAATTCACCATTTCAATGAGTATATTATTTCTATATGATGTATGTCCTTTTTTTATTTTTATCTGCCGTCGATCATATTTAATTTTTTTTATTTTTGGATGTTTATTTAATCATTTTTAATCTCTTAAAGATGTGTTACTAACAAATTGTACAAAATATATGAATATCAAATGATACAGCCTATGACCTATGTTTTGTCAAACTCTAAATTGCCTATAAAGTGACCAAGTGTGTTCAAGCAAAGCAACCTTTCTTGTGAATGAATGAAGTCTCGACAGCTGGAGTCTTCTTTCATGACTGATCCGTATGAATATATAAGTGCATATAGGAGGATTTTAACAGTGTTATGCTATCGTAGTAAAATAATTTATTCGATATAATCCTGCGAAAATAGCCTTGGAGGTTTTACTTTTGACATGAATCCGATTTAACCTAAAGTCCAACATGTAATGCTGTTGCTACGACTATGTCAACTTCCTTTGCCGAAAGCATCACTCTAGGAACATCAATAGTCAAAATGCTGATCTGCTTATGTAAAATTGGTAAATTTTACTTTGAATCATTACTTCTTAGAATATTCTAAATAGTTTTAACGGTATGATTCAATATCCTCTAGAATAATTTCAACTGACATGCTGCCTATAATTCTAGAATTAAAGCCACGGTATATAAGTTGACTTCGTATATCATTGAATAGAAATATCTAGTCAATTATCATAAAATGAATAGCTAGAAACAAACCAAAAATCTACAAATGTCATTGCCTCACTGCTGAATTCCTAAATACAAACTTAACTCTTAATTTTTGACATGTTTACATATTATGTCTGTTTGTTTTGTTCACACATCGTTGTAAATATATTGAAATTTTATGCAACTGTCATACAAGTGAGATGTTTAGCTAGCAATAAACCAGGTTTAATCCACTATTTTTCTCGGAGTTCAGTATTTTTTTTGTGATCTTACTTTTTACCTCAGCTGAAATTGACAAAAAATAAATCACAAAAATACTGAACTCTGAGGAAAATTCAAAACGGAAAGTCCCTAATCAAATGGCAAAATCAAAAGCTCAAACACATCAAACGAATGGATAGCAACTGTCATATTCCTGACTTGGTACAGACATTTTCTTATGTAGCAAATGGCGAATTAAAACTGGTTTTATAGCTAGCTAAACCTCTCACTTGTATGACAGTCGCATAAAATTTTATCAAACATATGTCAACACTTTGAGTCGTCTTTACTCTTCGTACTTTATTTTTTTTTTCGATTTGAGTGGCATTGGCTCGTCTTTTGTAACCGAAACGCGAGTCTGGCATACAAAACTTAAATCCTGGTATCTATGATGAGTTAATTTACAAAATTATTTACCAATAATGTTGACCGGTTAACCAAATTATCCAAGAACCTTTATCTTATATACGCTCATCTTGTTTTTATTTAAACCAAGCTTCAGTTACAGTGAAAGTACAAGCTATACGAGTGATCTGAATCAGTTATGGATATTGTAAACAGCTGTTTGAGAACGTTTTATATAAGTCTCTCCATTCGAGTGTCCTCTGGTCTTTGCAAAAAGGTTCCTCTCTCTAAACTAAAAAAAGATGTGATCCAACTTTGATAAAATAAAACATAACAACGCTGAATAGGGTCACGTCACAGTATGTAAGACACACACCAATTGTAACAAATCATTTACTGAATTGACATGGTATCTAGAAGGACATTTTTTCAACTTGTTCCTTAATTTGTTAGTGGAATATTTCATACAGGGTCTTTAAAAGAAGAAAGCACGAAACAAGCAAACTGTTTCCTTTGATTTCCACTTTTTAGATTATGGTCTCGAAGCCTTTTATAGTTTAATATGTGGTATGGGTTTTGCTCATTTTAAAAGGCCTATGCTGTTAAAATATATGTGTTGTCATCGTTGTCAGGTGCATAGTTATCTATATCCTTTAACTCTACGTTCCGCTATATATATGATGTTCTCTCACTAAATAATACAAAATTTGGTGACTATGTTGAACGAATCTATCCCATCGAACTAGAGATAAAGGATACTACAGATACAGTTAAGTCTGCGTCATATCTTGACTTACATCTAAAAATTGACAATGAGGGTCGGTTGAAAACAAAACTTTACGACAAAAGAGATGATTTTAGCTTCCCAATTGTGAACTTTCCATTTCTATGTAGCAACATTCCAGCTGCGCCTACATACGGAGTATATATATCCCAATCGATACGATATTCCCGGGCTTGTGTTTCCTATCATAATTTCCTTGATAGAGGATTGCTGCTCACAAGGAAGCTATTAAACCAAGAGTTCCAAATGGTGAAGTTGAAGTCATCCCTTCGTAAATTTTACGGACGCCATCACGAGTTGGTTGACCGTTATGGAATAACCGTTTCACAGATGATATCGGATATGTTCCTTATGTCGTAACTACAATACCCTCCCTTTTCACGAATATGACTTACCGAATTAGACTATTTACCGGATTTGTAATAACATAAGCAACACGACGGGTGCCACATGTGGAGCATGATCTGCTTACCCTTCCGGAGCACCTGAGATCACCCCCAATTTTTGGTGGGGTTCGTGTTGCTTAGTCTTTGGTTTTCTATGTTGTGTCATCTGTACTATTATTTGTCTGTTTGTCTTTTTATTTTTGGCCATGTGTTTTTTTTGTTTGCATGTTTAATATCCCTTGCTTTTATCTCTAGTAACAAGTTTTACTACTGCAACGGTCATTTTAAACCGAACAACTCTAAAATGCCTGAACTTAACGCAACAAAATATAAATTACCGCGCATGTGGTGTCGTCGAAATCACTGCATATTTACTTAATTACATGAAGTATTCTAGCTTGGTACCGAAGGTCGACCCAGGTTATAGTTAGTAAAATGTAATTCTATCTTAGTGTTATGCACTGTGTCTTACGAAATTGTGTTTGTTTGTCTTGTTTGGCATGTTTGCTGTCTTGTGTTTTTCTTCCAATGTTTTTCGCCTGCAGCCTTCTTATATACTCTTTGTTTTTTCTTATGATTTCAGTTTAATAAAATTGGCCATGGTTTTGTTATGCATATAACTTTTATTAACCATTGAAATTGTAAACATTCAATTGTATTCAAACTCATTCATTGTTTCCTTAGATATTGAACAGAAAGTAAAAAACCAAGTAATTGCAAATTATATAGGAAGCTCAGACAGCATTTTATCAAAATGAAAGTTGTGGGGATATACAAAATTCTTCAAACAATGAAGAAGTCTTGGTTGTTTGTATTGTTTGGTGTTTTCTGTGTGAGCCAAGGATCTGTGTTGAAGGCCGTACTTTGACTTATAATGGGGTAATTTTGCATATTGTGACTTGGATGAAGAGGTGTATCATTGGCACTGACACCACATCTTCTTATACATACGAAATTTTAACACCTGTATTTCTATAACATGTGTATGTCCTGAATAAAACAATCCTCGTATATTAGTTGCTCGATAAACTTCTAAGCATACAACATTACTAGCCCAGATGACTTTTGCCATGAATCTTTCAGAAATGATAAGGAAAAGTGTGGCAAATATTATAGATGGTCCCGTGGCCATTCCCATAAAATACAAAAACCTTTCGTTGATCATAAGAATATTTCATATGATAACTTTGAGAAATAAATGAAAACCTTGCATTCAATGTTTTTTAAATTTTAGTTTAAATTCAAATGGGAAGTGTAGGCGAAGACAATGACGAAATCTATTATAGTTGTAGTTTAATCAACAAACACGTCATGAAAGACAATGGTTATGATTATTATAATGCGTATAAATTGTCACAGTCAATGGTCAAATGATACTACTATGTGAATTCATGAATGTTCTCCTATTGTCAAAAGTACTTTTGTTCTTTTGAATTCTGCTCTACGTTTGGCATTTGCTTTTTCTCTTTCTAATCGTCTTCTCATTCTCCGCCTGAATATCCTTTCGCCTGCAAGTAGTTCTCTGTAAAGAATAATGCGTGGAAATAAAAATCATTACTATAAAGATGTCGAATTAAAGTGTGTTGCAATTCTATTCTCAGACCATCAGATCCTATAAAGATGTCAAATACAAAGTGTGGTTTTATTTTCAGAAACAACAAGGCTAACTCTATTTCCGAGGCTAATTTTTCTTGATTTTCATATTTTTCGATTAAAATTGCAAAACCAAGTTTAATTTACGCAATGTTGTCATATTTAAGAAAAAAAATCAATATCAATCCCTTTCTTTGGATTCACATAATCGGAGACATCTAAATTAAATTACAAAATGAAGACAACACTTTATAGTGTTTCGGCTTCCGACGCGCTTTTCTTGATACGTAATCAGGAACGTTCCATGTCAAGTTTTTGAAGACCAAGGATGTATAGGAACAGATCCTTAAAAGACATTACGAGAATAGCCAAATCCATGTAACGTCAACTATCCCTGGTGAAGATAAAACCTTTGGTGGTTTTTTTTTTTTTGGCAACTATTGCTTATTTCATAAACGGACAATTTAAGAAAGGTTTATAATTATCATAAATTATGTTAGTATCGAAGTAACTTACTAATGATACACTCGGGGATTAATTTTCCACCAGCAGTGGTAGCAACCAATTGCTGTCAAAAACATTCGAACTACTTTTCTGGATTTACCTTTATCAGGAAAGCCAATGGAAAAGAATCGAAAAGGTGAAGAACTATATGACCAAATAGGACCTGAACATAATAGCCAAATCGATGTAAGGTGAACTTTGTCAGAGGGAGTTGAACCTTTAGTTTCCTATCAATTTAGAAATTTATAAACAGAAAATTTTAGAAAGGTTTTTTATAAATGATATCAGTACCGATGTACCGAAAAGGCTCTGTAAATGTACATTATTAAATGAAACAAAAAACTAGACGTTGATTCTGATCATTACATTTTCTGTGCTATTTTGTTTACATTTTAATGCTTATACTTACCATTTTGCCACATTTCAAAAATAACGGTAATAAATTGTTTATTTAAAAAATGCAAATAAAATGAATTATGATCTTGTTTCTCCCTAAAATATATTTATTTATTTTGAACCTACACACTCAAGGTACTGATCAATTACAAAACTAAAAAGAAAAGTAATTTTGTTCATTTAAGCAAATTAAGTAAATACATTTTTTTTTGTGTAAAATGTATAATAGCAAATAATTGTGTCGGAATTAACATTTTGATTATTACAAAACTAATCTTGCATAGTGTTTGCAATAATAAATATCGGCAAGTAGTGTCTGAAATTGCAGTAAATTCCAAGTCCACTGTTATAAGTATGCAGTTATAAAATATAACTTGAATGTATAATTTTAATGGTAGCAACTAAGTAAAAATTTGGTCTATACCATTAGCAAATTCATTTCAGTCTTGAACGCGTATGGACATTTTGATATCAACACAATCTGTTAAGCCAGAACCTAAAAAGAGTTAAGATAAATTTAGAATCTTTTTGTTGTAATTTTTGTAATGTTCAGACATTTGTCTTGCAGTCAATTTAGCCATGTTTACTACTGAAAAATCTGAATCACGACTTTACAGATCTTTATTGACTACGGATGAATTGTCTTGACAGTACTGAATATACCGCAGTCGAAAAGTCTACATATTTCCTGAAAGTCAAACATTAACCAATAGTCTGAAATCAAAATTCACTTACTAGTGTTTCTAGCTAAAACGTAATGTCCATTGTCATACTGTATCATAGCAAAATTAATGACTAGATTAGAAATATAACAGGCTAGAAAATCAGTGTATTCGTTGTTCCTTTATGACGATATTTCAAAAATTAAAATTTGTTCAGTTTCGACTTAATTTGTCTTTGGAATAGGACATACAATGTATACAGCGCATGTGTCAACAAAACAGGTATTTTGTCATAACAAACAACTCGTATGACGTGTACATTTATTTTTTTAGAAACGTTCGATTTACCTTTGATATTCATTAATGCAATTCAAATCAAATAACTTTAAAGTATTTTTGTTTTGGACTATTTGCAGTTAATTTAGGCAACAAAAATCGTTTAATTTCATATAAAAATAAGGAGATGAGGTATGAGACAACTATCAACCAAAGTTAAAATGAAGTAGATGTAACTATATATATGCAATGTTCCCTAAAATATATGCATCACTTTGACCCACAACGTGATACGCCACTGCACGTTACATCCTAAAAAAGGACTTATTTATTAGGGTCAATCCCAGGGCGTTACCAATCATTCTTCTTTGTAAATTGGGTGACTTTTAGGTGTCAAATATCATGAATATGAATAAAATGAAACGACCATACCTAAATTCATAAATAGCATTTGTGTAGCATTACACTCATTCGGTTACTGTTTTAACTGTCACCACTAAAATGGATAAGCAAGATCTAGCTTCTACATTTGATACCAAGCACATGAATAATCTAAATACCTACCAAACATCTTTTCTAATTTTCTGAGAATTAGAATGATAGCAAACATTAAGATTTAAAGTTATTGCAAAATCTCAAATAGTTTAATAGTTTTTTTTATTGTTCGTCACCAGACAATGTGAATCTCCTGCGCAACTTGAACTGTGTGGTGTTTAGTGATCTTTAGTGAGAAAAAAAAGTATTGAAATGGAGTCTGCTTCCACCTGTCTATGTAAAGAACCAGATTCATTGCATACTGATTTTCGCTGTACATTTATTTTATACACATTAAAATGAACAAATGTGGTACGGGCTTTCAAAATAAACATTTTGATGAAAATGAGAACATGTAATTTTTTCCATTATGTGGCTTAATGTTAAGGCTGTCAGTTTTTGATTTCTGACAGTGTTTAAAGGGAAACAAATCATATATGCATTTGTGATTAATTCTTACGAGAAATCAACTTCGCCATCACCATCCATGTCTAGTTCGTCTACCATTTTGTCTAGCTGAAATTCTGTCAATGGAAACTGTGCTGTCTACAAAATGAGAAATTATTCGAAATTTGATTGTGTAATCATGTTACCCCACAGTAAGTATACATATGTGTGTATGTGTGTATTGTTTGTATATGTGTTTGATGTGTTGCACGAAGTACAGATAGTATATTTTCCCTTTGTCGCATTAAAACGCATAGTTCCTACTATGTTACTCTAAAAACGAATTTGTAAGCACAGTTTGTAAATTTTCCATTTGTGACATTAAAACGCATAGTTCGGACTATATGACTCTAGGAACTCATAATATAAAAATAAGAAGATGTGGTATGATTGCCAATGAGACAACTTTCCACAAGAGACCAAATGACACAGATATTATTAGTGCGATTTCTGACTCGTCAGTATTTATACTGCACTAACCACAATATTTCCCACTTGCATTTTGTTTTATTTTTACAATTTTGTAATTAATTTTTACGAAGACATGGCTTATTTTTTTAGTGATAAATCATGCAACGTTTAAAGCTGAAAATGACATATCTAAGTTTAAACAAACGATTTGATTTATATTTGCATCATGTTCACAAAGAATGTGCTATTTTTAATATTTATTTCACCTCTACGTTTGATTTCATCCTAATTTCTCTGGTACTGTTTCAGATATACTAATAGCGTATTATGGCAAATTTTAAACACCACATGCGCATTTTGACAAAAATATCTTTTAATGGTGGGGCGATGAGAACGTGATACACACATCGATCATAAGTGCTGATATAACAAAGGGAAACACTGAAAGTATCACTAAACCGATTTACTTACGTTTTAACACTGAACATATTTTTTAAACCCGTAAACAATCTCATAAAGAAATATTTCCATGTTATTCATCAAGAATAAAATAGAAAAAAACAATTTTGAACTATTTTTATCACTGTTTGTTTTGTTGGATTTTGTTTTTTTTTTAGTTGTTGGTGTTGTTGTTTTTTTTTTGGGGGGGGAGGCGGGATGGAGGGTGGCAGTTTGTAAGATTTTGTTCGAGGGTGAAGAGTAGGAGAAATAAAATAGATAAGCAATGAAAGTTGTTAGGTGCAAACTTACTTTCATCCCTTGTTTAAACTCTTCCCTACTGACACTCATGCTGCCATCTTTGTCCAGCCATTTCATTAGATCTATCACTCGGTAATTATTTTCATGCATATATTTGAAAAGTTCGTCAACCATGTTCACATTATAGTCTATGCCTTCCACTTCACGTTTTTGTAAGCCGCCATGTTTTAACACATTTGAATATAATACTTCAAAGGGCCTGTACATTGTTATATCATCAACAACGGACACAAAGTCTTCGTTGACGTCTATGTCCTACAAATAAAAATTAATATAAAAATTTTAATTTAAATTTTAATTGATAAATAGATATTTGTTTAAAATGATTTTAGTTTTGATGGAATGTGAAACAAACTCAAAGATTAACAAACAACTATATAAAAAAATTGAATGAATCTTTCAAATTACTTTGTTCTTTTATTATACTGTAACGTGTAACCAGGCGTTTATATCTCAAACGATTCGTTCCAGTAAATACTTGGATTCAAGCTGTCCATAAATAATACGGCAATACTATTAACTATCTATGTTATACACAATGAACTAAAATATACACACGGGCTCTTTGCCGATATAAAGTAACGATGAACTCATATATATACAAGTATTGTACAATCTTACAGCCTGTCCTCCAGATGGGACGGTCTGTCACTTCAAGACAGTGTGGCTGGTACAGTTTGTCTATCCAGACAGTGTGTGCTGGTACAGCTGTCCTCCGAGTGGGACAGTCTGTCACTATCAGACAGTTCGGGTTATTGCAGTCCGTCCTCCGTATGGGACAGTCTGCTCTGCCAACTTCCTATGTTAGACCAACTTGTACCCAGTACAAGTTGTCCCCAATACAAGTTGTCCTCGACTATATCACTTACAGCTATGTAACGTGCTTACTCTTGTACACTGGTCTTTTTAATAGGAATATCGACAGAACCCGATTTGTATTCCTCACCCGCTTATATACCCCAGGGCGAATACAATATTTTCTGGATAGGGTGTTCTCTAAATGTTCCCATACTGAACACAAGAATCCCTCTCAAACACCCCCATACCCTTGGACCCAACCACTGACTTTCCCGCCAAACGTCTAAATCGACACAACGCTTCCTTCTGCGTGAAACATGTATTGATACAACAAGGCTCTTCTTGTTTGTAACCATAACGACCAATAAACATTACAATACTAACCCCCATGTCCAACTGCTGTATCCGGAAATTCTCGGACTCTTGTATTACTTTTACTATAGCTAGTGCTAGTTCCGGTGAAACAGGGTTACCTCGTATCTGTAAGTGAAAATGATAATCAAACAAATGATTACTGTAACAATGACCGGACATTTCCTTTTATGATTATACCTTATTTGATTTGATAATTTTAGATAAGTTGATACTGAAGATTTCTACTATTTAGAGTACCATTGGCGGTATCAGATGTGCATTTCAAAAAGTATTATATTTAAGTAATGCTCAAGGTCGAAAAAATTGTAAATTCAAAACCTTACAATAAAAAGAGCTAATAATGCAAAGTGGACCAAAAGTATAACCAAATTAGGACAATGAGTTTTGCATGATGGACATAAATATTCGTTAATTTAAACCGATTTTTAAAGTTTTATAACAACAAATTTCATAAAGATACATATCCGTATTTTTGTGCCAATTCTGAAGCACTGGCTATAAGCCAAAAGTACTTTCTGGAATGATCTGTTGTTTTCACAAAAAAAAACATTTATATTGTTAATTGTGAATATCAACCGTGCATAGGGAACTGGGGTTGTATTACACTCTATCATAATATAATGAGACTATCGAAAGTCATGAAATTTTTTGAATTGGTGTCTTTAGCTAATGATACATTATAGCATAATATTTTATGTTCTTGAATGAATTAAACAGCAAATTTTTGACAGTTGCTTTTTGCTTAGATGTAGCTATTAAAATGCACATGTAAAATCCGGGTTTGTTTCCAATTATTAAAATGATGAAACATCTTACACGTAGAGTTTCCAGACCGTCTCCATTTTGTATTCCATCTAAAAGGTGTTTTATGGCTTCCTTGTTCAGTCGGTTATTGGATATATCAAGTTCCTTTAGTGTTGTATTTTCTTGCAGTGCATGACTCAGAATAAAACATTCATCTTTGCCATAACCATTCCATGAAATATCTAGTTTGCGTAGACCAATATTTTTCTGAAATATAAGAGAGCTTCCGAATATAAAATTTGTATCCGAAGGTTTAACGAAAATAAACAATGCCAGAATAGGAATACTCAAACATGTCACAAACGAAATAAAACAAAAGGTAAAAGGTTAAATTTCTAAAATGAAACCCATGACGTTTATGATATCATTTAGCACTGTAACATGTGTAATAACCGATAGTTAAATGCATTTTATTATATTTGATGATTTACGAACTTGACGTTGCGCACGATGTTGGTACTACTTAGCGTTACACTACGTTCCTCAAAATAAGGCGATTTCGACGATTTCAAAGAACGTTTCAGGCGTTCAAGCATATAATTGATGAGGTCAATTTACTGTTGTGAATTTGGTAACCGATTTCGGTTTGTTTGAAAATGCGTAGTTTTACAAATAAAACTCAAAGTGGTCGTATAGATATTTGTTTTTACATTATATTCATTTACAGAAGTTGTCAGTCTTTCCAGGCCATAATTGATAATTTTCCTTTCGGCAGAATTTACAATCTCGAATCCCAAATTTACACAGACTTATTTTTAATATAAAATATATTTTGAATTTATATTCTCCTATTTTTTTTCATATTTATACGTACTCCTTTTGTTGCATTTATTTCCGTTTCCGTTTCCTTTCTATATTTTATCATTTCCCGATGTTTTTCACATTTCCGTATTTTTGTGGCATTATGCATATCCTTTGTTTGTTACATGTATAACTGCCAGCAATGGTTTTTCTCTATTTCATTTTATTAACAAATATGCTATAAAAAAAAACTAAGATCCCGATATTTTTTTTATATCAATCTCACTTGGTCAACATTTGAATTTAAACTTAAACTATTCCTTTCTCGTAGATTGGTTGTATTGTAACTTATACAGGTATTGTTAATTTCATTGGAATTAAACTGGAAACAAATAATTACGATATAAAATTAATAACCAGAGCATGACATCAATTACGTTTTGCGAACGTTGGGACAAAACGGCTATACTTTTTCAAACGATCTAAAAACCTTGTTGCCTAACGAAAAAATATTAAACACTTATAGTCTATATTGTTTAAAAACAAAAACAGAAAAACTTTTACCGCCGAGTTTATTTTCTATGATCTAACTATGCTTATTTGATAGACAGGTGGTTAAAACCTCAATTTTAAAGAAAATACAGCGTTTTTTTTCGTTGGGACACGATGGCTATACTTTTTGAAGTCATTGCAATAGAAACTATACGCATGGTTTCCGGCAAAAAATTATCACGAACCAGGAGAAAAATAAAAAAAACTTTCAAAATATAATAAATATTTTTCCTCTCAGCTTTTTCAATTTCACGGTATAAATGCGCAAACCCGAAATATACTTACCATGCATGCATATGCTTGGACATTTTTCAGACCGTTTTCAAAAATAATATTTTCCGGATTACGGTTTCAGTGATATTGATTTTGCTTTAACACGCGAATAACTATAACAATAGCAACACTCTTGTGAAGTTTTACGATGATCGGAGAAAAAATACCGTAGGAAAGAAAAGGACCTCTGATCTTTTGCATAACAAATGTAACGTTGGACATTACGTTTTTGCGTAAAAATGGGATAATTAAGTGTTATAATTCCTGGTATTTTTAATTTCGGTTCCTTTTTTTCTTTATGTTCAAGTCTAATGTAATGAATTCAACCAGAAATCACCATATTTTATCGAACTGACCAGTCTACGTATTTATTTTTATGCTAATCTATAGCAAAATGGAATTGGTACCAACATCGTGCGCAACGTCGTTATGTTCACAAAGTTTTAACGGCTACAACAATTGAGCGTATTTCCTATGCAGAATAATTATGATATTAAAAATTACCTGTAATGCTGCTACTATGGCCATGGCACCTTTACCTCGAAGATGATTCCAACTCAAATCTAAAATTCTTAAGGTATCGTTAGTTGCTGAAAAAAAATTAAAAGATGATTATGTAGAGTGAAAAACTACCAACGAGTCTAGTTGCAATCATTTGCCATTTTCACGTAATAATTAGTCAAAAAGTTTTCCCGCTGAAATGTAGAATTTTGAAGATTTTCGAAATCTTTGGCAAAGCACAATATATAAGCAATATCACTAATAAACAAACTGATTTGTAATTGTTTCTTAACATTTATAACACAATTTTGCACCATAAGACCGTAAACGAATACATAATGCAATAAGGATGTACTAAGGTGAAATTAAAAAAAATCTAGAATTTAAAATTGATGCTATAAGTCGAATAAGCATTAGTTAAGGAACAAAATAAGCTAAACACATTGATAGCTTATGGAGCTCCTTTCCGATGTCTTTGGGGGTTTTTTTAAATGGCGGGATAAGGCTGACTCGGTTTTTACCTTGTATTTGCATTGGTATTATTTGGGTCTCAAATCGAAAGAAAAGAAATCTAGAAACTGCTTACATTTTTTAAATGATTTTTTATGAGCTATTAAAGTCTTAAATGAAAAGAAAAATGGTGTTATGGGGCAACATATTTTACCCTGTATTGAAGCAAAAACCCAAGTAGTCCGAAAATCTGACACAAATTCCTCACCTAAGAACATCCTTTAGTGATTTCAAAGGGTTTAAATCATTTGATATTGTTATGTAACGTTCAGAAGGCCTTCTACATGTATGTGGTGGGTTGGATTTTTAGGTTGGCTGTCCCATTTACTTGATATTACACGTCTATTTAGGTTCAAGCAATATGTTCAAAGGATTGTTGAATGGATTGATAGATGGATGGACGATTAAATATGCTAATTTATGATATGAAAATGTAAATCTGATATGGATACGAAAACTGTTTTACTAGATCTACATATAAATAATAAGGTGTAGTATGAGTGTCAATGAGACATCCAAGTCACAATATGTAAAAAGTAAACAATGATAGGTCAATGTACGGCCTTCAACAAGTAGCCACATCTGATTCTGAATGAAGCGAATTATTTCTCAATAACAACAACAGTTCGTACAATGGTAAGTCACATGTTTGCCTAGAGTAAATTAAACGTGTCCCCTATGCTATGGTTATTCTTGTAACGTCTACAATAATATTAAGATTCATTTTAAACTAACCTATAGCTGATCCTAAAATCATCCCTCCTTCACCGCAAAACTTATTATGGCTAAGAATTAATTCACGTAAACATGGAGCGTTCTGAAAAAAAAAGAAAATATATTGCAAATGTGTTTGATTTTGATTTTTGGAAAGAAAGAGATTCTAAATGAATTAAGAGACCCTGCAATAGCAGATTGAACAAAGAAAGAAAGAAAGAAAGAAATGCATATATTCATACATACATAAATAAAAAAAACTGGTCACAGATGACGGTCGGCAACATTGCTCTTATCCCAATAATCGTATTTAACGGATCTTTGTGTATACAAACTTATTAGCATTACCAAAGCATATCATGGGGTAATAATGCACACAGTATACAAAGAAACAACGCCTACAAATTGACGCAGAATTGAAACATTATACAATTATGATATTCTTCTTACTTGCAAAATATCCGCTAACACGAGTGCATCTGTATCTACTAAACCACTTCCTAGAAAAAAAATAGAACACACAAACAATTATGTTCCAGGATATACATGTACATGAACTTATTTAAAGTAAACATTTTCCATACATTTTCTATGTTGTGTGTTGTGTACTGTTGCTTGTCTTATGGTCGTTTTTTTCCTATTTTAATGTCATGGCATTATCATTTTGTTTTCAACTAATGAGTTTAATTGTTAGTTTTGGTATCTTTCGCATATCTTGTAAATTCTTTCTATGTGGTACTGGTAACGAGTCCGATTTATTGATTAATTGTTATTTCCTAAACGGCCAGCGGCAAATATTGCGTGCATGTTCAGGACGGGAACAAATTAAAAAAAATCCTATCGGTAAATCCTACAATTCGTGATCACCTAAACTAACTACGCCATGACTAAAATAGAAAAAGACAAACAGAAAAACAACAGTACACAAAACACAACATAGAAAACCAAAGACTGAGCAACACAAACCCCATAAAAAAAACTGAGGGTGATTTCAGGTGCTCCGGAAGGGTAGGCAGATCCTGCTCCACATGTGGCACCCTTCGTGTTGCTCATGTAAGTACAAACTCGGTGATGTGTTTTTTTCTTACGTCATTCACATTAAAAATTGTCTTACCTGATATATCTAATGAGGTAATTTTATGATTGACATGTAACACATCTGCTATTGCACGTACTCCTTCTGTACCAATTAAATTTTCTGCTATATTCTAAAAAAAAAATACACATAAAATGAATTATTTATTTCTACTTACTTTTGAGAATAAAAATACACAGTGCTGTTTTGTCTTGTTTTAATATTATAGAATAGATAATTGAAACGTGAAATGGGCCAAAGAAACAACAACCCGACCAAGGAGCAGAAAACAGCCAAAGGCTACAACTGGGTCTTCAACGAAGTGAGAAAATTCTTCACACAGAGGTGGGCTACAGTTGGTCCCTAAACAATGGTGTATACTATTTAAGTCAAATTGACGTCAAACTAAACTCAGAAACATATATATGAACCAAGAATTTAAACAAAAACCTAAGACAATCAAAGGCTAGATGTTTCTGATTACGGACAGGAGCAAAATGCGGCGGGTTAAACATATTTCGTGAGATCTTTACCCTCCCCCTATTATAATGTTCGTAATACAATGACATTAAAAGCCAAAGGCAGAGGGGACAGGAATTTGGACAATCACATAGATAATACATAAAAGTATGTTTACTGACAAATCTATACTTACGAGATCAATGATAGTTCTATTTTTATGGAGCATTTCTGCTATATATTTAGCACCATCTGTAAACAGACCATTGTCTTCTAAATCTAAACTAGTAACTACTTGATTATCCTGAAAACAAGGGAATCAAAAGAAATCAAAATACTAGTAATATAAACTATTATACTTTGAAAACATACAAAAAAGTCATGTAAATCAAAAAGTGTTCACTGTGACATATCGTGTTACTTAAAATGTACTTTACTGGTCACAGGTGTATACATGAGGAAAGGTGTGTCCATTTCATATTCTAGGGTTCGAGAGTGAACAGGTTTTTTGGGCGGAAGAAATATTATATTCGTCTGTTGCTATGGAGGCTTATTTTTCACTTTTGTACACATTCCATTTTGTGTGGCAGAATATTCCCATTCTGTCTTGAGCAATATTAAAATTCATTTTTTATCAGGCTACGATATTTATACCGAAAATAATCAGGTCCCCTCCTCTAGCAAGAAAATCAAATATAGTAAATTTTCACAGTGATATTGACTTGAAGGAGATGAAATAAAATCGAAAATGACGTATAACCAAACAAAACAAAATTGGCTTTACATATTCAAATGAGCAAATGAAATACATAACAAAATTGGTTGTATCAATAATTCCTAGATTTTCATGCAAGAGATAGCATTGTCATAATATAATGCTGACCTGCACAAACTGTATACTTGATGGTTTCAAAACAACAGATTGTATAATGCTGGTTATTACTACAGGTTGGATGTTGAAAATCGAAAATTTATCTATCTTAGAAGAAACACTATAATAATATTTAGTCGGATTCCAGTGGAAAAAAAGGCTTTGATCATTTTCCAATTAAGAACCACGACTCTAGTTTACTTACAACTAATGCGATCGCCATCGCTCTGACTCCTTCGGGTCCGGTCGGGTGACTTCTCATGGTAATAGCTGGTGTCGCCACCTGGTTTTTAAATGATGATGCAGGTGTAACACCTAGCATTTTACATGTGTTACGATATGTGCTTTTAATCTGACGAGTGTCGTCGTCGTCATCTTCGTCGTCGTCTGAACCCTCTGGTGAAGCAACTACAAAAAGCATTGTGAAAATATAATATGAGAGTGTGGATAGGGGTTTACAGAATAGAGAGTACGTTATGGGCAAAAAACAGAAAGAACACAGAAAAATGGACAAAAAAATAAAGAATAGAGAATATCGAGGTGCTAAAATATTAAGAATAGATAATAATGAACAAAAAGTATAAAGAATAGAGAAAAATAGCATAAAAAATACATAATACAGAAATGAAGGGGCCCCATCCATACTCTAGAATATCAGTTTCAAATAACGAAAGACTTAATCTCAACGTATGTCTTCACTGTGTATCCAACTACACCGGATATTGCAAGTGCTGTACCGTATTGAAACCGGGGAATCGGGAATTTGGGGAGCTGATACACCGAGCAGTATATCTGGGCAATCTTTAATTTTCAATTTCTTGTGGATTCAGTTAGAGTTATGGCTGGCAATTTGATTTAAACATATTTTTAGAAAAAAAATCATCGTTACCGGGTATATAATAATATTGTCCTCAAATACATGTACATAGATATAAGAAGATGTGGTATGAGTGCCAATGAGACAACTCTCCATCCAAGTCACAATTTGTAAAAGTAAACCATTATAGGTCAAAGTACGGTCTTTAACACGGAGCCGTGGCTCACACCGAACAGCAAGCTATAAAGAGCCCCAAAAATGACTAGTGTAAAACCATTCAAACAGGAAAACCAACGGTCTAATCTATATAAAAAACGAGAAACGAGAAACACGTATGAACCACATCAACAAACGACAACCACTGAACATCAGGCTCATAACTTAGGACAGGTGCAAACAAATGCAGCAGGTTTAAACGTTTTAATAGGTACCAACCTTCACCCTTACTTGAAACAATAGTGTAACATTGTTTGTATGTATATCTGGCATTGTTGGAAATATATATCGAATAGGGTTTTCGTCGGGTCATTTATAGTTTATCTAAGTGCCATTCATAACAGCAAAGTATTAAATAGCTATGCCCCTACTCAGGTATTTGTTTTCCTAACGGAAAAATATCAAATTCGCAGGTAAGTAGAGTTTTCGGACAAAGAAAATCCGAAAAAAAAAGAACGAACCAAAAAAATTAAGAAGGAAAAAGGCATGTAGATCAATAACGATAGCAGGTAAAATACTTGTACCGTCTCAAATATATAATAGATGTGAATTTACAAGTACGATCATTCAAAAAAAAAGTCTTTTAAATTACAGATAATCAGTTGATTAATAGTTAACAAAATGCCAGTAGCATATATTACACATATGATTTGTGTTGTTTTTTATTTGTATCAAAGTCTCAAGTAACCTTTACAGTTACAACTGATCTAAAACGTATGTTTACTGTCTATCACATTCGGTTTTAGCCAAAAAGATCAACTGAAAACTTCTATTTTGTATCTAATGATCGCCGCGGGACGTTTGCGCTTTTTCATAGGTCATTTGCGCTTTTTAATGGACATTTTCGCTTCAATTAATAGGATAAAAAGGACACGTGCGCTTTTACAACATTTGCTTCTTATGACTCTACTCCTGTTTCATCCGGGTTTTGGACCGATAGGTTTGACCTATCAGAGTTAAAGTCACAGTTTACATTATGGTTCAAAGTTAAATAGTCATTTCCTATTACATTTGTGCTTAAAGGTCATTTCATAGCAACATAATATACCTGAATGTAAACATTCTAAAGACATAAAGACGCGTATAGTCATCACAGGTCAGTTTTCGCTTGATATCTGAAGCTCAGGGAATATACAAATGTAGCTCTTGTAATGTATCCTAATTGGTATTTCGCCCACATTTCAAATAAATGTATTAGTTTCTCTTTCTCAACTATTGACTGAGGTCCCTGTTCATCAATATAACGAATTTTAATGTAATTTAGAGATAGATAGATAGATAAAACAAGTTTACAGAGAAACATACAATATAAATACATATACAGTAGTTGAGGTAAAAAAATGCAGTACGATGTTGTAAAATGAAGTATAAAATTATGATGGCATACATGTTTAGTAACATGTATAATAAAAAAAACATAGAAAGAAATCAGTACGATGCTTATGCGTTTACATTTGCATGGAGGGACTAACTTTTTTATTAATACACTTAATAAATAAACACAGTTTTCTTAAAACTGATTAGTTTTTAGTATTAAACAGGGAGCAAATTGACATTATATTTGGACTATGTGAAAATTTAGTTTGTAGAAGTAATTTATGTTCGTTCTTCTATTGCGAAAAGCAAAACAAATTATGAAATTCATCACCTATATCACTGGAACTACACAACGCACATGTCCTTTCATTGCAGGCAATGTTTTGCCATCTCCCCTTTTCTTTAGGCAACGCATGGTTACCTGCTCTGAATTTACATAAAGTAAACACATATTTGTCATCAAGTTCTCAAAGTCCAATGTTTTTTTAACAGTCTATAGTTTATGCATTTTGGGGAGTTTTGTATTCAATGATAAAAATCCATCGTTTTGTTCGATGATAAAAAAACATATACAATTTAATTATTTCCTTAACTAGTCTTTAACTTAAGGGCATACGATACAGTGTTGATCCCATAATGAAATTTTGATGAAAATTTGCAAATAGGATATTTTTTACATGCTTAAATCAAATATGTAATAAAAAATGTACCTTTATGTGCTACTTTTTGAGAAATTTCAGATATTTGCTCAAAATTCGGATTTGTGGACGTATTTTTCCTTCCGACAGAAATGCATAACTTTTTTGTTTTAAAAGATAAACACAAGCTGTTTTTTTGTTAAAATTATTAATAATTTCTCTTTTTTTTTTAAGTATTTTATAAATTTATGAAATTTTTTGTTTAGAATTACTAGAATTTATAAAATGTTAATGAATGTAGAAAAAAACGTCATTTTTTGCAGTATATTTATCAAATTTAAAAAAAATGCATTATTGACTTTTTCAAGAAAATTGGTACAAATAATCTTCATACGTAATCAAACCGAATGTCATTTTAAAAAAGAGGTGTCCATGAACTCGTTTAAAAGTTAAATCAGTTTGAATGATAAAAATCAGTCGAAAAATGCATCTTTTCACGATATGTCACAGTTTGACGTCGCGAAAATAACATTTTACGTTAGCAACGTCATTACCTCCCCTGTAACTGTATCGTATGCCCTTAAAACTTTATGTTTAAGAAAGACTGTGTCAATGTGAACTAACTACCTGAAATATAAGTTGAATAATTTTACCCAATGATAAAAATTCATTAAAGTTACAGGTAGACGACTTCACTAAAAACGCAAATGTCCGGTCAATTTCAAAATTTAGAAATCATTTTAAACTAAGGAATATATCTCCCTCATGCAAAGCCTTGATTCCTTGCCCGTTTTTGACAATACTTTAAGTCCTTTCGGTTGATCAGCTCTTCAACATATGTATTAAATTTTGGATTCTCAAATAGTTTGGCCTCGAGCATCACTTAAGACACATTACTTGTCAAATGCCCATCTGTTGCAATAAAACAGGTACCGTTCTAAATAATTAATAGAGGTGTATCAAAAGCGCAAATGTCCATAGTGTTTGGAGCGCAAATATCTTATCGTGTTATAGGTAAAAAAGCGGAAACGTCCTGTGCCTCTAATGATAGTCAGCATTTGATGGTCTTTCAAAGACCACTAGCTTTTCGTGATCTTTACGGTATTGATTCAGTCAGTTTAAGGGGAGGTAATTACGTTGCTAACGTAAAATTTTATTTTCGCGACGTCAAACTAGGACTAATCGGGAAAATATGCATTTTTCGACTGATTTGTATCATTCAATCTGATTTAACTTAAAAACGAGTTCATGGATCCCTCTTTTTTAAAATGACATTTGGTTTGATTACGTATGAAGATTATTTGTACCAATTTTCATGAAAAAGTCAATACTGCAATTTTTTTAAATTTGATAAATATACAGCAAAATATTACGGTTTTTTTTTCTACATTCATGAACATTTGATAAATATGAGTTATTTGTAAAAATAAAATGCATAAATTTATAGGACATTTACATAAAACAGAAATTACAAATAATTTAACAAAAAACAGCATGTGTTTTTCTTTTAAAACAAACAAGTTATGTATTTCTGTCGAAAGGAAAAATACGTCTTCAAATCCGAATTTTGAGCAAATATCTGAAATTTCTACCTCATTTTACTCAAAACGTAGCACATGAAGGTATATATTTTATTACACATTTGATTTAATCAGGTAAAATATAGCATATATGCAAATGTTCATCAAAATTTCATTATGGGATCAAAACTGTATCGTATGCCCTTAAGTACATTGCACGTTACCTGAATTTTTAATAAAATTAATACAATCTAAAACAAATAAAATCACCGTCACGGTGGTAGCCATTTTGGATTTCAGGTTTCTGTTTCTAAATTTAAAAGAGGTATATCAAAACATTAATTTCCTCCATAAGCAGTTCCTAAGATTGAAACATTTATCAAAATAACTTTGAAAATGCATTGTTACCTTGATGCAACACACAGTTCCAATAAAAATATCTTACCTTCAGTAATAAAAGAGCTCTTAGATTTCCGTCTTACGAATTTTAGTTTCAACATTATTCCACTTATAGAAAAACTGAGGCTTAATTCATATTTCAAAATTTGATATCGAATTCATAAGTAAATATTGTAACCCAACCCATGGTTTTGTGCATTAATCTTTCCCAAGTACCACTTTCCTTCGGCCAACAGGTCATTCGTAAGAGTTGCATTTGTTATCAAGTGATCTGATTTATAGGATTAAGAAGCTTTTATATAAAAGACCTACGTGTATTTTACGTAAATCACAATAGAATTTAAATACACCTGGTGCCAATCTTATTATCTCAAAATAGTAAACATAGAAGATTGCAGGTCGGTGCATATTGAATTGTGTAAATCACCTGCATGCATGTAGTCGTTATTGTTTAATTGAAATACAAAGCAAAAAGCATTTAGTTTAATTGATTTGCGCTATAATCTTAAGTTCTTACAATCCTAAAATTAAATATAAAAAACGATAACAGCAATTACTAATAATATTGGACAATTTAACAGGCCACATCTAACCACAGGTACTCGGTTAGTGGATATATATGTATTTTAATTATTATAATGTTATTTGTTTTTCGTATGTCCTGTCTAGTTGCATGATTTGTATTAACGTTGGCACCAGTATTTGTATGTTTATAAGCAATGTGCGGTTTACCATCTATATCTGTTTTCTTAAACACCAACTGCTACTTAGGTCTAGATAGTCTATCAGGCACAATATGAGATGGGCTAAAACTAGGTTAACATGCGCACAAAATACATGAATTCAGAGAATGCTTAAACCAATGTTGCTTCAGTTTGTTTTCCAAATACACCGCATTTAAAAATACAATTTTTAGTTCATTATCCTATTAGCGAAGTGGTTAACTTTAGAGGTCAAGAGTGCATGCTAGTTGTTAGTTATATTGATCTTTCTTCCAATAATACATTTTCAATAGTATTTTTAAAAGTAGTGTTTTGTTTCTTATTCGACCTAAACTCGGAAGCAAAGCAAATCAGCTTTATAATGATTACATTTGTTTATGTGCGCACAGAATACGCCAAAAACCAATGTATAGCTTCAGTTGGTTTATTTTTTTTATTTTTAATACACCGCATTTAAAAATACCATACCATTTAAAGTTCATTATCGGATTAGCTAAATGGTTAACTTTTTTTTTAGTCGCTTCCACCATAGAGGTCAAGACTGCACGCTAGTTGATAGTTATATTGATCTTTATTCAAATAGTAAGCTTTGGATGGTATTTTTAAATGCAATGTATTTTTTTGTCTGAAGGAACAAGACATCTTCAAAAGACAATAGTTTCTGAAAATTTGCAATCAAAATAAGCATATCGCCAAGAAAACCTATTCGACCTAAAACTGGATAGCAAATACAGCTTGATAGTGATGTCATTTAAAGTGCATTGCCGTATTCTATTATACTTAATAGAACTATTACTGTAACAGCTTCAGTGGTTATTGATAAACTTAAGTATGTAAAATAAATAAATTAAAAAATAAAGTATTAAAGGAAATGAATAAAAGACAGAAAATATACTGAAACCACTTACCATCTGCCATTATATCGTATCCAGTGAAAGTAAATTCCCTTGTTGGTCTGATCTGTAGCATTTCATCCGGAATCAATCGGGATTTTTCACGTTTTGTTTTTGTAGTCTGTCTAGATATCGGCGCAGGCGTAGTTGATGGTGATTGTTTTGCATTGCTCGTGTCTTTTGGTTTAGCTTTCGAAAGATTAATGGATGCTGAACTCAAAAATAATGAAGCACTTCGATTTCCAATTTGAACAGTTTGTGTTTCCCTTTTCGTGTCCGATGTATTCTGAACCGGAAAATTTTGATTTTCATCATGTTTTGAATTTGCATCCTGATTTCCAATGTCGTCTGTTTCTCGTCCATCAAGTTGCTCTTGGGCCGCCTTCATTGCCATTAACTGAAATGAACAAAAACATTTATTTTGATTTAATTACTGCAAAATTCGATAAACTCATATACAATTATATTACATGTTCTTTTGTTGGTTAATGACTGTAATGTCTTATAAAGATGATAACTCAGTCGGAAAGTTTGTTTAACTGCATCAAATGGTGTATGGTGTTTCTCGTGTAATGTGAAAATTATGTTCCTATAAGGGACCAGTATATCGTGAATGACATCATCATTGATACTTTCCGAGATGAAGATTTAAAAATAAATCATTTATATCAAATAAGCGTAAATATAATGAAAATTTATCAGAACAAAATTATAACTGTCCATGACAAATATGAAATATTGGATCTTTGATTTAAGATTTCAGTGCTTGCAAACACAGAAATTAGCATACAGGTATAAATCTTAAGACATTTGAAATGTACATGTCAACTTCATCACGAGACGAAATCTGATTGACCGTAATAATCGAACGATTTAAACAATAACAGAAGAAAAAGTATCAATTAAAGACAACAAAAAAACTACATAAACAATTAATTATCAGATCTTATGTTCAATTTCCCATTATCGTCCTAGGCATGGTTGTATTTTAATTAATTTAGTAGAATTATTTCTTCAATGAACTGAATGATAAATAACTTGCAACATAAAATTCTGACATTTCTTTAAAAAAAAAATAATGATTGAATAAAAAGGATCTAATATGGATCTGAATTAAAATTTGTTTTTGTTTTTGGTTTGCATCTATTTTTTGAAAATGATTTTTGTTAAATAAGTGCATCTTTCACAAAGGTCACATAACAATGTGAAAGATATTTATGAACTTTTAGAATTGTTAATCTGGATAAGCTTTATTTTAAATGCAATTGTCCTTTAGTCTTGTTCGAAACTATATACATGTAGCTATATCTTGAAAGGCATCTGAAATCTGCAAATTTTGATCATTTATTGAATTAAAACCAACAGAGAAAGAGAAAAAAGGCGAGAAAAGAAAATGACTTTTTGAAAACTTTATAAAGTATCATTTATTACGTGTATAACTTTTTAAATTTTCTCATTTCAAATAGCTTTGGCGAACATCATTCTCAGTTATACCACCACGGAAAGCAATTTGCTGTTTAGGAATCTAATGCATTATTGGTACCTTTTCTTTTTTTTAAAAAAAGGTACACCAAAACGTTTTGATTGGTTAACATTTTTAGTCATTAAAACCAATGACGTGACGTTATTTTCTTTCCGGAGTACAAACAACGAAATTACCCATATTCCTCTATGTTCTGAAACGGTGAGAAAAAAAAGAAAACAACACGTTTTCTGATTAATGTTCTTCATGAACTCTCAATGCCGAATATTTGAATTATTATTGATTTATCGATTTTCTAGATTTTGGAGTGATTAAGAGCTTGACATATTGACATAAGGGAAGACTGTTTGTTGACCCTTAGATGTCTTTTGCTTTTTACGTTGTTGGATTGTTGTCTCATTGCATCACCTTTTATTATAGAATGATATGATAAATATCTAGTCAACTGTATCAAACATTCTGTTTTTTTTTTTACATAAATGTGAAAATGAATTAGGATCATTCTGATTGCATAAAACAGACGCTATAAGTGTTAAAGAATTTTGAATTATTTCAGTTTGTAGGAAAGGTGATTTTTACATGCAGGAATAAGATAACAAGGAGATGTGATATGACGGTAATCGAAGAAAGGCCACTGAATGGCAAAAAGTGTGAGAGAGAAAAAAGGAAAACGGACAACGCACTGATTTAAGGGTTTATGTAGATAATAAACGAACATCAACAATGGCATGCAGATGGCAACCAACAGTACTCATATATAGGACTGTACACTCCTGATGTGTGACAAGCAAATAATGATCTTGGTGGAGTTCAAAATGTTAAAAGAAGCATGTTTTAAGGGCTTAACCCCATCCCGATTCCTAACCTGGGATAGTGTTGTAACAGCAGAACAGTGGACAAACTGTAAAGTAACATCGAATGAAAAACTGATACACAGGGTTTTGAATCATTTATAATTATCAATATTATTTATTTTTACTTTTATTATTATCATTATAACCCGAATAATGTCAGTCGTCATATTCTGCCGGTCTCGGACTGATCTCCGGATGCTTAATTAACCTCGATAAGGCCGGTAGAGGGCGCAAAATTATTATTATTATTGTTGTTGTTGTCATGTTCATTAAGTGTTGCAATAATCATTATTTCGATGTGTTTTTACAACAGCTCTATTTGTTTATAGATTGGTATCTAACGTGGAAAAGTTGCACAATATCCGTGAAATAAGACATTCTTTAAAGAATTTATAAATTATGTAAAAGTTCTAAATGACATAACTATTGACCGAAAAGGTGAAATAAAATTAGTAAAAGAAATATTTTGATATCTTTGGTAAAATCGCTAAAATATTGTGTAAACAATAAGGTTACTACACACTGGTCACCTTAGATGTCCATAAGCGGAGAGGAAAATAATTGAAATCATTCATACAATAAAATTACGTCAAATGTTCATAATTTTTCCTGAAGACATTTTATTAACAGCTAAGGTAAATTTACAACAATGTCAAATACACTGAAAAACATATATGTGCCACTTTTTCTTTTTTTTACATTTAATTTAGGAATTGGATCTATCGATAATATAAAAAATGAAAGTCTATAGAGTGAAAATACACAATTTAAAAACTAATTGCATATATTTTTACATACTAGTACGTTATAAATTTACATAAAAGAACTAAACCCAATTAAGACACACATTGTTTTGTTCGTTATAAAACTATTCGCCTCTTGGACAATTGAATTGTTTAACAACCTTTGTAAATCAAATGATATAAGGTACATTGAGTAGAGAAACTGCTGCTTTCTCTCTAAATCATCACATGTGTATATAATTTAATTTTGGATGTAACACGTCTTCTGATTGGCTGAAAGTGTTTTATCTATCAGCTCATAGACATAATTTTGTCATGTGACCGTGACGTCACCAACGTTTTTTTCAAAATGTACACCTTAAAATGGAATTTAGAATTAAATTATAAGGAATGACTGTAATATTTTTTCTGTCTATTCGAAATAACCTAAAAAATGTGGTGCACACTTTTACATAACCCGCTACGCTGGTTATTCAGCGTGCAACACATTTGTTATGTTATTAATTCATAGACAGAAAAAAATATTACAGTCATTCCTTAAATATATTACACTTTTTGTTACTATCCATTATCATCTAATTGTGTTCATGTGATCACGTGGTTATTTAAACTTTACAGATTGCACAGACGTTTTGCTATGTGGTCAATAGATTTAGGTATACATTTAGTTTTGTAAAAATATTTATACTGTTTGATATTGTGTATTCTACTCATTTCGCTTCTATGTTATGTGTAAATATGTATGTATTTGTCGCTCCTGTTACGCAGAAAATCTGCGTCTAAGTGTATTTTGAATAAACAGTATTTAAACAGAGTCTTATTGCATTGATGGGCTCAATGGCAACCATAATGTTCATGCATTAATAACCGCATATTATGACGTCAATAGTATGAAATCCTACACAGGCGAAATGTAATGATTTTATCTGGACAAAAATTGTTAAAACATGTCTTTTCGTATACTTAGTAAATTTGATCTTTCACTCAGCAACTTTTCACAAAGTTCCTCTTTTTTTATGTTTCCTGATGTGAAACACCATCGACGTTCAGTATAGTTCAACAACTTAAATCGTTCAGTATAAATACACTGGGCTTGGTACCTTTAAATGAATTAAGAAAATATCACAAAATATTTAAATAAATGTTTTGATTTAGACGTAAACTGATTTTCTTTCATTACTAAGAACATACTTTGTTTACATTTATTTATATAAATATTTTATTCCATTAAGTATGAAGTCAAGAAATAGTGTTAAAGTTAGCATTCTTAAGTTTTAACAAGCGATAAAATATGATATGCCGAATATCAATATAATTTAAAGAATCACCATATGGGCTTATAAACATGTATTGTTACATTAATATTGCATGTCATTTTGCAAAATGAAAATTTTAATTTCAATAGTGCTTTTATTTACTTATAATCTACTCCGTGCTTTAATTACGGAAAAACATGACAACGTCAAATTGTAAACTAAACCATTTACTAACTATTCTATTCAAACACATCTGTTTATAAATGTCAAAATCGCGGGACCAGTTAAAATTTAACTTTTAAGAAAGGTACCCTTTCAATTGAGTTTCAAAATGCATCGGTTTTACTAAAATTGGACAAGAAGGGGTCATGAATGTTTTTGCTATATATATGTGATCTTCATAGACGATGATGATGGTGGCTGCTTAACATCCGGTGGCAAATTCAGGTCGAGAACACTTTAACGTAATATTAATAGTAACTACGTTAACGTAATATGAAGATCAAACCTGCTTTGTACTAGACCGACATGTTGATCCAGCCGGATGTTTAACATGCTATTATATAGTTCACAGGGACACAGTTCGCAGGAAGACATGTGACCCTACCCGGACATATTGTTCTAACTCAGAGCCGACCAGTCTTTGCTCTTACTCCTTAATGCCGCGTTCTTACCGGAGAAGTAACAATTACCATGCAACTGCAATGTCTTTGGTTTGACCAGGTCGGGGCTTGAACCCACAACCTCCCGCACTCCAAGCGAAAACACTACCACGCGACCACCGAGGCGGTTATGTGATTTTTATAGCAAGTGGACTGTATATTCATTTTGACATATTTCACAAAGACCTTACAAATGCTCACCCTGCTATAGCGTTATTATTGGACAAAAACGTATAGTTTACAAACACAATATACACGGTATAATGCATTACTGTTTTTCTCGACTCGAAGCCGGTGTAGCAGTTTCAAAACCCTGTCCAAATTTATAGCTCTACAGTGTCTGACCCTTAAGTTCGGAACACTCTAGTGTTTTGAAACTAAGGTTCATAACACTTCCCT